AGCAAGACTGTTACTAATGAAAATGAGGTTGTCCGCTTCTTTTTGGAGTCATACCATTTTGCATGCAGCAATGCTTGTTCGTCTCAAACTGGCAATTTATCATAAATATTCCCCGTTGTAATTAGTTTTGGATCATGAACCTAATATATCTCATTTAAGAAATTTTGAATGCGCAGTATATGTGCCTGTAGCACAGCCATATCGCACCAAGATGAGTTCCCAAAGAAGGTTAGGCATATATGTTGGGTTTGAATCGCCCTCCATTGTTCGCTACCTCAAAAAATTAACAGGAGATTTGTTCACTATTCGATTTGCAGATTGTCGATTCAATGGGATATTTTTCCCAAAATTCGGGGGAGAAAATGGTGAGACCAAACTGTTAAATTTTGTGGGAAAATCCATCATTGTCACACCTTGATCCACATGTCTCTATTTGTGAAAAAAATGCAAAAGATTATTCATATGCAGAAGATAGTGAATCTGCTATATTATCACTTGAACGAAATTATTGCACATTGATATCACAATTCTTTTGAATATCATATGTGAAAAATAAATTTGGTGAAATGTGCTTTGTCCTATCTCTTTTTATGAATCCTCAGGCTATGCATGTTGCATTATCTTCATACAAAATCGTGGGTATTTTGTCACACTTCAAACCATATTTTTCTTGAATAAGATGTATTATAGACATCAACCAAATACATTCTCGACTTGCTTCATGAATAACAATTATCTCAACATTATCAGCTGAAGTAGTCGCGATTGATTGCTTAGTTAATCACCAAGATATAGCAGTGCCTCCACATGTAAACACATAGTCTGTTTGAGATCGAGCCTTGTGTGGGTCAGATAAATACCCGACATTGGCATAACCAATAACATCAGGACTGCAATCGTTGCCATAAAATAAACACATATTATAATAAACTTGAAGTTTATTGATAATTGCACATGTCATGGTATAAACCTGAAGTTTATCAATATTGATAATTTATCTAGTTGGCATAATTGGTTTAGCCATATTAATTTAAGTATGATGTACAAAAATAAAGAGAATTCATATGGCACTACAATAAAAAGGGGCTTTAGTGGTAATTATTTAGCGGCAACAAATTAATTGCCGCCAATTTATTCACAGAAGGCAAATATTAGCGGCCAATGGATATTAAATAGTAAATATTATAATTTTAGTGGCCATTCAAGAAATTAGATGGTAAAAGTATTGTTTTTAATTTTGGTATTCCCTATGGTTTCTAATTTTTCCTCTAAATTCTCTCTCGCGTAAACATTATACCCTCTCATACTGATGTCGTGTTATAATTTCATATATTTTGACGTTATTTACCATACTTGATTGTTGTTTGGATGCTAATTTGTGCGATAATGAAACTTAATAGAGTTTATTTTACGTGTAGGAATGCTTGGGTATGAAGTGGAGAAAAGTTGCACGAAATGGTACCTCAAAGCTACAAGATGGAGCAATAAAAGAAATGTACAAGGCAATGAAAAGTCACGGATATAGACAGTGCAAGGCTTTGTCCAGAGCATTGTCATTGGCTCCTCTGACAGTGCCTCGCGGTAAAATATTGGCGCCTCTAACAGTGCCTCGTAGAGTAATATTGGTGCATCTGACAATGCCCTGCGCCGACGACGCTTATCCGAGCCACTTTTATTTCTCACTATTTTGGGCGTGTAGACTTCGATCCCAACCATATAAATACCTCTTAAAGTTATTTTTTGAAGGGTTAGACATCATTAGAGAGGCAATAGGCTACGGAACACTTTGAAATCACGAATCACACGAGTTTTTCTCTCTGATTTCCTTTAATTTGTAGTTTAATGCTTTTGGATATTACTATGATTATCTACACAATTATGAGTAGCTAAACCCGTCATCTAGGGTTGATGGAACCAATTGTTGGATGAAGTCTTGATTGCGTATTAATATAATTGAACCGTTTTTACTCTCTAATTGTTCAGCTATGTGTTTATTGTAGTTAATTGAATGGCTCTTGATTAATCGTGTCTAGTTATCTTGTGTTGCTTGAGAAAGAATACTTGATTAGATTGTTGTTGAACAATGCCACTTTCGAGTAAGTTAAGAGCAGTGTTTTAAAAGGCATGGGCATAAGGCGAGGCGTTTTACATATGCCTCATACGTATTTACTTTTTAATATTTTATAAAATAATATAATTACAGTAAAAATTTATAAACATGTAAAATTGCATAAAAATTAAAGAAAACTAATATATATATATATATATATATATATATGTGTGTGTGTGTGTGTGTGTGTGTGTGTGTGTGTGTGTCTCTGTGTGTGTGTGTGCGCGCGCGCGCGCTCCATCCCCACAAAAAACTAGTCAAAACAATCTATTATACGCTACTTATAGAAGCACAAGTAACTTTAGTTGAAAAAAATAAAGTTTTCTACATGGAGGAACAAAAAGGATGACTAACCTGCAATTTAAATTTTGAACTTGCTGTTATGAAGGAGAATGAAGTTCTATTTGTATTTGTAAAAAAAAAAATTATTCGTTGCTTTTGGGAGATATTAGCAGTCTAGCGGACAAGATAAAGAATTGGGAAAGACTATGAATTAGGGCTTCAATCAATAAAAAAGGTCTTGACTTTTAAATTTAATACATTTCTGTTCCTTTTTAAAACTTTTCAGTAATTACCGAGATGACTTTTGAGAATTTGGGTATTATATGAAGGACTTATTCAACAAATTTTATTTTAATTTAAAAAATTATTTGGGGCTTACGCCTCACTAAAAAAATGCGCTTCAAACGCCCGTACGCCTCTTGAGACTTTCGCCCCACACCATTGCCTCGGGGCGTTTTTGGTGCGCCTCTCCCCGGGGCTCGCCCCGAAAACGCCTTTTAAAATACTGGTTAAGAGATTAATTACTTGAATTTAAATCGTAAACCTTAGATCTTTTTATCCTTGATTCAACCTCATTCTTGCTAGTTGATAGTTTTTATTGTCATTTTTCCTTTAGTAATTTATGTTAATTCACAAATCAAATCTTGAACTCTGAAAGTTGTCTGAGCTTATCATTAGTGATACTGAAAAGTTATAGCAAATATGTTAGTTTTCTGAAATATGTTAGTCCTTTTTATAAGGCATAGTTGGGCGTGATCAAATTTTAGCATCGTTATTGGGGAACTAACGGTGATATTCGTTACAACTTGAAAGAATTGCTAGAATTTTTAGTTTAGATTAATTTTCCGTGGCGCTAAAAATATTTTCATTGAAATTCTCACGTTTGAATTTTTATGTGCCTCAGGTGCATGCCTAGAAGCTCCTTGAGAACTGGTGAACTATTTGAAGGTCTCTCAGATCCCGAGAAAGCATTCAAGACATTGGATCAGACAAACAGCTAAAATAGAATGAACAAATCGAAGTTCAAATTGGTGACGTCGAGAACGTCAACGGGAACAATAGAAATAATCAAGTTGACCCAAACATTAGAGTGGTGCACCCCTTGTGCCAGAGTCTTCTCTATATGATTGGGCGCAATCAACCGCTTAAAATCTGGCAACTGCAATTGCAGTCCCTCCGATACAAGCGGAAACTTTTCAAATTACAAACAACATACTGCACTTGCTGCAGAACAAATGGATGTTCTCCAGGTCTTACATCGAAGACCCACAACAACATCTGAAGAATTTTCTATCAATTTGTCACTCAAAGATAGCCGAATGTGACACCCGAAGCAATCAGATTGTTACTGTTTCCATTATCAGTGACTGGGGAGGCTCAAACTTGGCTGAATTTGCTCTCAATAAACTCCATTGCTACTTGGAAGGAACTAGTCAAGCAGTTCTTAAACAAGTTTTATCCACCCAACAAGACTGCAAGGCAAATTGATGAGATATTGCAGTTCAAGCAGAATCCAACTAAAACCTTGCAAGAAATCTAAGAGAGGTTTAAGGGTATATGGTGAAGTGTCCACACCATGGCATCCTGGATTAGATGTCAAGACAGAGATTCTATATGGGGTTGGCTTCTTGACAAAATGGCTCAAAATTCAGGCTGGATGACGAGGGATACAACACTTGCCCCAATAGTGCATTCTATTGCTCTTGACCCAAACAATACAAATGCAGAAAACATAGCCACCCTCATGAACCAGATGAGATTGTTGACAAAGTAAATTGATGAGATGGGCATGAAACATGTTCATATTATTGACACAACAAATGGAGGCCTATGCACTCCATGCATCAATTAGTCGTATGTTTGCTCGTGGAGTGGAGAAAATGATAACCAAGGCTTCAGAGAAGACATGAATTACGTAAATAATTTTGAGGGTCAGAGACAAGGTGGATTGAAATGGGGACCTCAGAATCAGCAGTACAAACCAGCGTAACAACAATACAATACCAATCATGTGGGAGCACGACCACAAGGCCAAATTGTACCCTATCAAAGGCAATCAGGTTACAATCAGTAGCACCAAAAATAATTGTCTTACTAACAACCTCATCAATAACAGGTGACCAGACAGGAAGACAGTAATATGATAGAAATCAAGGGCATGTTGCAACAAATCATTGGGACTAATGGAAAGATGCAAGAAAAGTTAGCCGCACATGACTCGGCTATTAAAGGCATTGAAACTCAGTTAGGCCATTTGTCCATGGCTTTGAACAATCGCCCACAAGAAACATTGTCAGCAGACACACACATTAATTCAAAAGAGCAGAACCAGAACCAGTTAATGGCAGTGAGTCTCAGGAATGGAAGGGATTTGGAGAGAGGGAAAGAATTTGCTCAATCCAATAGAGAGACAATGTCAAATACTCTAGTGCCAATTGTGATCGATGAGTTTACGGAGCTCACAGAGGTCGTAGTTAAGCAAGCACAAGTTGACAAAAACAATGAGAAATAAATTGAACAGTTCCCAGAACAGGTATTAGAAAAGACTTCTAATCAGTAAAGGACACATAGCAGTGGGTAGAAGCTACTTCCAACACTATTCCCTCAAATGTTGGCAAAGCAAAAGAAAGATGATCAATACAGAAAAATCATAGAAATGCTCAGACAGATTCAATTGAATATTCCGCTGATGGATGCTTTGAGGGAAATACCAAGTTATGCTAAAATTATGAAAGATTTGATGTCTCGAAAGTTTGACTTCCAGGACCTGTCTACTGTAACTCTGACTCAAACTTGTAGTGCGGCAGTGACAAGACCTATGGCTCAAAAGTTGTCTGATCCCGGTAGTTTCACTATCCCATGCACAATTAGAAGTTATGCTTTTGCTAAAGCATTATGTGACTTGGGAGCCAGTATTAACTTGATACCCTTGGCAATCTACACAAAGTTAGGCATTAGCAGAGCTAGACCAACCTTAATGTTGCTGCAACTAGCTGATCGCACAGTGAAAAGGCCAACAGGAATTCTGGATGATGTGCTCGTTCAAATGGGAAAGTTCATATTTCTTGCCGACTTTGTTATTCTTGACTGCTAGGTTGACGAAGAAATACCCATAATTTTGGGAAGGCTATTTTTAGCTACTGGGGGAGCATTGATTAACTGTGAGATTAGATAGTTGAAAATGAGGTTGAACAATGGAGAAATAATATTCAACGTTCAACAATCTATGAGGAGGCCCAATGAATTTGCAAATTATTCGCTAGTGGAGGCAGTTGATGTGATACTACAAGATGAGTATGAGACTCTTCATGTCAGAGACCCATTGGAAGCTTGTTTGATGAATTTAAAGGAAGTGGATGGTAAAGAGTTGGTATAGTGGGTTATGGCTCTTGAAGGTCAAGGTTTCTGGAAAAGGGAACCTCAGTTTGAGCCATTACACTTAGAAGAAAGAGAAACACCACATGCGAAGCCGTCAATAGAGGAGCCATCACAGTTGGACCTGAAATCGCTTCCAGCTCACCTTAGGTATGCTTTCTTAGGGCCTAACTCTACTTTACTTATTATTATCTCATCTGGTTTGTTAGCTGTGCAGGTAGAACAACTCTTACAGGTGTTACAAGAATGTAAGAATGTTATTGGTTGGGCCATGGCAGACATTAAGGGTATCAACCTGGCCTTTTGCATGCATAAGATTCTCTTGGAAGAGGGGCACAAGCCTTCTAAGTAACATCAAAGAAGGTTGAACCCGAACATGAAGGAAGTGGTGAAGAAGGAAGTGATTAAGTGTCTGGATGCGTGCATCATTTTTCCTATCTCGGATAGCGTCTAGGTAAGACCGGTCCAATATGTTTCGAAGAAAGGTGACATGACTATTGTACAAAATGAGAATAATGAGTTGATCTCTACTCGTACAATCACGGGTTGGCTAATTTGCATGGATTACACAAAACTTAACAATGCCACCCGAAAAGACCACTTTCCCCAACCGTTCATTGACCAAATGTTGGATAGATTGGCAGGGAGGTCTCACTTCTACTTTTTGGATGGATATTCGGGGTACAATCAAATCACAATAACCGCTGAGGATAGGCATAAAACGTCATTCACCTGTCTGTATGGCATCTTTGCTTTTCGGAGAATGCCGTTTGGCCTATGCAATGCACCAATCACTTTTCAAAGGTGTATGTTGACCATTTTCACTAACATGGTTGGAGATATTATGGAAGTCTTTATGGATGATTTCTCAGTGGTGGAAAATTCATTTTATGACTGTCTTAACTGTTATACCCCATGTTTTCGTACGTGAAAGTACGCCGTAAGTCAATTGATGTAAGCTCGGAAATGAGATTCTCTTTGAAAGTATATAAAATGATCTAATGATATTACATACCGTATTTCTGTTCAACATACAAACGATTAGGTTGAGGACGAATGCACTTAAATGTGAAAAAGGAGATTTTGGATAAATAAAAACGAGTTGCTTGCTTACCCGACGTGCCTGATTCACCAACTTACTTTCCGCCCTACTTGCTTGAGCTACTCGACAAATATCTAAATTATTTAATGAGGATGAGACACATGTTTCAAAATGGAAAAAAGACCAACATGAATCACCTACTTGATTAAGTAGGTGACAAGTAGGTGCATCACTTACTTAGAGCTTGTGGATCAAATTAAAAGGGAATGGAAAAGGATAGAGTTGGGCAAGTCTTGGGGCAGCCCAAGACCCATCTTCCCAAGCCCATTAGTGGGGCCATATAAACATAGATGTATCTCAATTTCACTTAGAAAATAATTCATAATCCCTCTCTCTCTATTGCAATGTGAAGGAGCTCCAAAATATCAGCCCAAGATCTCTCTCAAAGTTATCCAAGGGTTCAAGACCAAATCCACAAGTTGGTAAGGTGATTTCTCTCTTGGAAGATCAAGATCACCTAGCTATCTCTCTACTTTGTTGTTTAGGGTAAAGAGCTTATTTGAGTTTGACGTAAAGCTTAGTTGGATGAGTATTATTGCTGCCAAGGTAAGGTTTAACTTCTCCTATGTGTAAGCTTCTTGATAAGGAGCCCTAAGGCATGAATATCTATCCACCCATATGGTTTAAAGCAACGAGAGAATCAGAAGGTAGATACAAGTTTCAACAAGTAAAAGAAGCAAGATGAAGAAGGGTACGAGGTACCCAATTAGTGAAGATTATCAGTATTTACAATTCATGCAGAGAAATATAAGCATTTTAAGTTACCTTCAATTGTAGCAGAGGTATGTACAATTGGCCACACCCATCTCAGTTATACTCCATGGGAGCCAACATATATAGTTTAAGAGAAGGACGGGATATCAGGATCCAGTTGGGGTTAGAGTAACCCAAAATGGTGGATGGATTGTTAGCGTTAGCTGACATTTCCGAAGGATATTGCAAATGTGGTAATAATTCTCCTTGTGAGGCACCTAGATAGTGCATTCTAGAATAGTACAGCTAGATATTAATACTAGAATGTTCAAAAAATTACAAAGATAGGCACTTGAATCCTAGAAGGGATAAATATTTACCTTATTATGGCTCCCATCCCTAGTAAAGAGAGAATATTAGGCGATCCGAAGAGCTAGTGGATGGAGCAAGGGGAGCTAAAAGCAAAAGAATATTTTGTTAAAGCTTTCAAAATAAAGTGATAGACAGAAATATTAGCAGGAGAATAAGAAGAGAGTAAATAAAGCATTACGAGCATGGTGTGATAAGTGAGTGATAACGACAAATCAAAATATGACAGGATGACAGAGTCTATAGTCAAGTGAAGGAAAAGACAAGTGTCAAGCCTTCAGGAAATAAAAGAGTATAAGCCATTAAGTCATATCCCCACTTCGAGAAATGAGTTGATGACTCCAACGTGATTACCAGAAGGAAAAGTCAGACCCCCAGAGTAATAGAAATTAGTATAGGATAGTGAATAAGATAAACTGAACATGAATTAGGGATCGAAGGATTTTATAATAGCCGGCATCGTGAGAATTTCAGAGATAGCGTTCCGGCAATAATAGAATGGATAACAAAAGAATATCCTTTAAAGTTCATTCAGGAAGACGCTTCCCTAAAGCAAGTACTGTGAGCAGAGTTAAGCTTAAGGGACTATGTGTGCCACTTACACTAGGTGTCACCCTCGTGAGTAAGAAATTTCGTTATCCTTGATATAGAAGGATTACCGCAAGGCGAGTAAGAGTCAGTGAGTATGTGAAAAGATGCCAAAGATAATTGAAGGGGAAAAATGGTATGATATGGTATTAAGTAGGAGTTATATGGTTCAGGGAACTATGGAATAGTAAAGGAAGGATGGGATAAAAATGAGAAAGGGATGATATTGCACTTATTCAAATCCCATAGATAGGTTATGACTCCAGCACATTACGCAAGCACGACGGTAGGGAGGGGCAGTAAAGGTTCCCGACCAGGATATTATTGATAAATAAGTACGAATGAATACTTGATACATAAGGAGCCAGTGCGAGAGGTAAGTTAAGACAAATGACATATCCCAAGAGAGATTACGCGAAATATAGATATGAAAATTGACCAACGAGTAATTAGTAGTTGAGTCAGGAAGAGCCTAGTTATGGATAGACAAGAGGATACAGACAAATCAACAGATTGTGTAGGATAAACATAGTGAAACTCAATATGGTGAATTTAGTCTCGCAGTTATGACATTGTAATCCTTGAGAAATATTCAGATATGAGTTGGGGTAGTTAAAGGTATCGTATTGGTGTTACGGAAATAAAAGAAAGTGCCGCTGGGAAGACAGTCAAAATATCAGTTCAGAAGCAACCCTTCAAGCACAAGGGCGTGGAGGTAAGTAACTAAGGATAATTATAGGCGAGGAAGAACATCAAAAAATTCCGTCAAGTATACGATGTAATAAGCTCGCATCTTTACAAGAGTCAGAGGAGTCTAAGACTATGAACATTTAGAAGAGATGGAATGCTGCCCTGGTAGTAGAATAAGGGTGTAATTGTGAAAGAAAAAAGGATGACATTTAGACATTTGAATGAGTAATGATCTAAAGAAAAGGGATTTCATGAATTTCACGGTATTAAAATACCCCCATAAGATGAATCACATTGGGATGCTATGAAATACAGTTATTGAAGATGCTCAGGCAAATCACTTCAAATATTCCTCGATGCGACGTGAGCCCTAGTGACAATGTATTACATAAGAGGTTTTAAGTTATCAGTGGTAGATTGTAGATCAACATTGAGGTGAATCAACCATGGATGGATAAAAGTTACAAAGTATGAGATGAGATTAGGCCGTCATTCTTAAGATGAACAGTAAGGAGGAAGCATTAAAGGACTTAGATTTATACATATAGGATAAGGAACGAGAGTAACCTAGAGTTTGGTAGCAGACCTCAGTAATAATAAACCGAAGTAAGAGTTAGGATATAGTATGACCTACTTAGATGTAGTAAATTCATAGACGCTCAGAGGGACAACTTGTCATAATTCTGTATATGTTCACAAAGTGAGGCCTAGAGATTGGCTAAAAGCTAGATGAAAAATGAGAGAAGAGCATCTAGGCACACATACAAGGACAAAGTCATACAGACTGCATGATAGAAGGTAGCAATAGTTACGAGATTAGAAGAATTCCGACCACAAGTCGTGGTATGAGAAAGAGGCCTAAAGGGGGGAATGCTCTGGCCTTTGGATTTATTCACACAACATTTGCCTAGATGGAAAGGAGAGTATTAAAGTATTTGCAAGAGCTATAGGTTATGAGAATGATAAGTGCATCAGTCAACATTCCAGGATGAATTTTCCAAAGAGGGGGAATGATGTTACACCCTATCCCCATATTTTTGTACGTGAAAGTACGCCGCAAGTCAATTGATGTAAGCTCGAAAATGAGATTCTCTTTGAAAGTATATAAAGTGATCTAATGATATTACATCCCGTATTTCCGTTCAACATACAAATGACTAGGTTGGGGACGAATGCACTTAAACATGAGAAAGGAGATTTTGGATAAATAAAAATGAGTGGCTTGCTTACCCGACGTGCTTGCTTCACCAAATTACTTTCCGTCCTACTTGCTTGAG